AGTCAGTTTGTTCAATGAAATAACGTTCGCGAAAAAGAAAGAAAAATCTTACCAGGTTATTGTCGCCGGATTAATACCATTCAATTTGTTTCGAGCACTATTAATTCGTTCTTTAGCATATAATGTTTCTTGTGCATGCGTAGCAGTATCTGAATAAAATATACAAAATTTGAAGCAACACGTCATCTCATTCATATTCCATTCTTACCACTATCTGACACTTGTTGTCTACTAGATTTTATTGCCAAATCCTGTACATAAATGAAACACTGATTTAGCATAAGAAATTGAAGAATGATCAACTTCTCTATTTGAACATACCACCCAGTCCATTAATGGTTCTTTGATAAATACATCCATTGTACTTAGTAATAAATCTGAATTTTCTCTCAGCGCATTCATCGTATGAATTATAGTTGAACGAAACAGGCCACATGTACCAATAGGATTCATTAAATTAACTAGTTGACGAGTCAAACGTATTGGTATTAATTCAGGAACTGGAAGACTCTAAAATTTTAGACAAAAGTGTGAGTAGAAACAACAACCTGTTATCCACAGACAAAATCATATTCCTTTAATTCGGCAGAAAGAAAGAAAGAAGAATCTCATGTCTTACGGCTACTATTACTTGTGGTGGGTGCTGATAGTCCCAGTTTCAACAGCCGAATATTTACAGTTGACAAGCGTCTGACATGGTTTACTCAACTCATTACTAGTCATTAATTTCAACTCTGGCAAGAACACCACTCTGACAATCAATAGTCATTCTTTTGACAAAAGAGAAAACCTGCAAAGTCTTACTATTGTTGATGCGCTAAATGCCGAACCAAAATCAATTCCTATCACTTGACCACTTGTTGTATCAATTAAAAAACTAGAAAAAAAATTAAAAACTGTTTTATTATCTCAAAACGTTAATAGAGCACACTAACTCACTTTGACTGATGTCGATCACCAATACCCAAAATATATTGACTTGTACATAGAACAGCATACGATACAATAAATTGACTTCTCAATGCATAAAATCCTTCATATGAATTAGCCATTTTATACTAGGCACGTCTTAGTAAATCATACGGAATATACTTTTGTATTTGACGAAAATTTTCTTGAATATCTTCTTTCTTGCAATGTATATAAGATTCACCATACACGGAGGAGGCTGTTGATTGTGACGATTTATCTGGTACTTTGCTCCATACTTTTGTAAAGAACTCGTAGTATTTTGCTCTAGGATCAGTAATATTTGTTTGCATTTCTTGACCTTCTTCGTCAGTATACGAACTATCCAGTACATCTTTTAATGTTTTAGTGTTATCTAGCCATTCAATTATACCAGTTTTTGTGGTCATGTGAATTACTATATGAAAAAAGAGAATAAAACCTTTTTTATAGTGATACTGATGATACCTAACCTTTATAAGTTCGAACATTAATCTGAGATGAGTAAGATTGCTTACAATTAGGATCATTCGAATATAAATCGTTCATTAAATTAAATAAAGCTTGTATACGTTGATCTTGTCGAATATCTTCACTGGCTTTAATTAAAAATGGATAATCATTTTCATCATGACCACGAACCTAAATTAACCAAAATTAAATCATTTTTAACTACTATTTTCAATTTTTCATTAGTCACATTTGAACTAAGTACAAAGCAATCACTACGCAGATACTTAATGACAAATGAAAACGGTGTAATCTCATCAAACGTAAAATAAAACATATAAATTCTGCAATTTTATATCAGGACAGGGAAAATTGAACAGCACCTATACAAAAACGAAGTTTCACCGTGGGTATTTAATCGGTAACTTACTCATCGTCATTTTCCTTTTCTTGTTGTTGCTGTGAACGCTGCAAATCTCTCATTTCTTTTTTCAAATTATCTAAGGATCTTTCTGACACACCTAACATTGCCAATAATCTTTCAGCTGTGTTGAATACTGGAATTTCATTTCCGTTTTTCTCACTCTTCACAAACTGAATGATACGGAACATCAAAGTTTTTTCTTCTTTTGTGAATTCTTTTCCTCTCTACATGAGAAATGTCAGCGCAAAAAATAATTTATGTACAAAATTACGCAAAACGCATAATCAAAGACATCACACAAGCAGTTCAGGTGCTTTCCATAGTCTCTTCGTTTGTTATTTCTTTTTCCTCCTTTTTCTCTTTCGTTCTAAAAAGAGAGACACACGTGGTCCCGTGTCTGTACGTGTCGGTCGTTATATTTTTCTCTGATTTTAGGCCATTAGAATTCAACTTTGGCGGATTTTGTTCAGCTGGTTAGTCAGCGGGATCAGAGAAGAGCTTACCAATTGTTTAAAATATTTACAAGCAAGCTTAACAACTTGAGCAATTATTAAATGCAAAAGACATCTTCGGGACAATCTTTTAGCATAGGCGATCGCGCACCTCATGGCAGTTACAGTTTCCGTATGAAAACGCTCAGCTAGAGCCGTCAAAACATTGCCACATTACTCAGCGTATGCGAAAACCTATAAATCAAATTAGTTTCAAAGGTTTCCGACCGAAAAGAGCGTTCTTGAGGCTGCCTTGAAGTGCCCCGTAGGTCCCAAACCTTGTAAGATAGAAATTTGAAAGTGATCTAGTTTTGTAGATCTCGAGTCCACGGTTCAAAAGTTGGAATTATCATTTCGATTTTTTTCCAGTGGGCGGACACCGTGTGCAAAATGTCCCCGCGAGGTTTACCACCTGCAGATGTAAGATTACTTCGTCGTTGGTGACTTTCAGGATGTAGCGAGTATCAGTTCTGTCCTATTTTATGAAGGAGTTCTATTTCTATCATCCACATCATATAAATTAAATACCGAATAATAGAGCCGTATCAAATAAGGGATATCTTGAAGATATCCCTTATTTGATACGGCTCTAATAAAATGGTGAATGAAAACAACGCTGCACCTACTTTTACTCTTTCTTCACGCGGCAAAAGAGAATATCTATCATTGATAAATATATACGACACTGTAGTGCAAGCGGGCAACAGGCCCAGGCATTTCTCACGCAATAAATCATCATCATAAATATATACACGGATATCTGGAAGATATACGTCGTGCATGTGCGAGAAGAGATATTTTGAGCGTTATATCTTTCTAAATTCGCAATATCACCTCTAATAAAAGAGAAATGTTATCATTGAAAATTGTGCGGTTTGGAAAAACATTGTTTTCCTTCAAAAAGAAAAGTTCAATAACAAGCGAATTTAGGAAGATATAACGCTCAAATTTTCTCTAATATTAGCAGCAGGCATGGGCAAATCCGGGGGGGGGGGGGGTAACCCAGGCCGATGCGGTGGCGGTTAAACCCCCGGCCCGGTGGNCGCCCCCCCCCACTCCCCCCCCCCCCCCCCCCCCCCCCCCCCCCCCCCCCCCCCCCCCGCCGCCCCCCCCCCCCTACCGAGTCCGAGTCCTTGCGCGTTCAAACCGAGTCCGAGTTCTTCAAAAAAATCTCCAGTCCGAACTCGGACTCGCCCATGCTGCTAATTTAGCAGCCTATTAGCGAAAGTACAAAAGAAATTTTCACTTCTTAATTCTTTGTTTTGACTGGGTTACAGAATTATTACTGTTACTACACACAGTGTTCCGTTAGAACAAAAAAATTCATAACTTTTCAAAGAACTGATATGGGTCCTCCTTTAAGCGTTTTTAACAGTTCACTTTCCACTATTAACTGGCATAACATCATTAAAAACGGAGTTGTGCAGCTGAAGACCTTGCCTCGTTAGCGAATGCAGTTGTTCTGGAACAGGTATTTCAACTGAAAATTCCAGTAGAGTTAACTTTTCAACGAGTAATACAAAACTGAAATTATTATCTATATTTTAAATTGCGCCGCAAAATGTTCAACCCGAACGCGACCTGACCCTGGAGTCGGGTCGGGTTCGGATCGGATTGCAGCTCCCTAACGATGATAGTTTAGCTATTAAAGCGTTAGTTTTGAAGCTATAACAAAATTCTTTTTTCTATTCGACAGTCAATGGACTTTTCTACAATATTACCAGCAAAAACTTTCACATAAAGGACGGAAATGAGTGATTTCGTAACGGTCGATATTTTTTTATAATAAAACTCGATACATACATTCAACTTTCATCGAACTCTTATAGGTTGTTGAACGCGTGGTTAGACAGATTTGGTAAAAATTCAAGCCTTTTATCTTTTTAACTGACCATGAAATTACAGTTAGAAGCTGAGAAAATGTGATTTCGTTACGATTATTTTACCCACTCCCTTATTTATAATAGAATACCTATGGAATTATCCTGTTATCACATATCTCACTTATCAAGCTCATGAAAATATTATCTAGTGCCGGATATTATATAAAGATAATTAAAACTGGTAGCCTTTCGATGTTTAATGTAGAAAATACGATATTTAATCAATTTTCAGAAACAACTGTGGAAATGGCAAAAGATGGTAGCTAAACACTTATCACTTTTACTGAGTATGAAGAAACTCAGAAAGTATATAGGGAGCTCTATCTCATTAACTGGAGTTTAGAATCTAGTAGAGTAGTTGAAATAATTAAATCATTTTACCAAATTTCAATGAGCAGGCTATCTTACTTTTTTGAATTATTAAAGGAAAATCAAAATCATTTGTACGAGCTCGATGACTTCGATTTTATTTCATTTAAAATATCAAGGCTTTCGATTAATAACATTAATTATCATTGCTGTAAAAGATGCATCATCCCACAAAAAGTGAGCTCAAAAAATGAAATACGATACCATACCATTTATTTGAATCATCGGTGGATGATACGCCATCAAAAGATGTCATACACGTTCGTGTATTGAATTGGAGGTATATAAAAATAATTTAAATACGTACTGAATTCTATCAACAAAGAACTTAAACAATTTTTTCGTTGGTTGTTCTTAAATATTGTGCTTAATTGATATGGTTTCGAAATGATTACTTAACACCATCTATGTCGATAGTAACAAGGGGGTGTTTCCCTTTATTAATGGACCAATAAAAAAGCTTGTAGTGGAGCCTTTGTCCAACACTTACATAGGCAAAGAAGGAAAGAAGAAAGAAAACTGCTCAGCTTGGACTATACAAATAGATTCAACTGTGTAGCGAGAGTTGTGTAGCTTTACGAAAATGATAATACGAACAAATTCGATTTTTCTCTATTAGTCTTCTGAGCAAAAGATAACAATATTGCCATATAGTTTCTATAGCTTTTGAGTTTGAAGTAATGATAACAAATAGAATGTTTTATAATGGCGTATTGAAATTCTCTGTTTCTATTTTTTATCTAAGGTAGTTTAATGTTTTGTTTTAGATTGTTCAAGTTCATACACACACACACATCAATCGATTAGAATGCATCATCATGTTTTTTTTCGTCCACAAAAAACAAATGTGTCATCCTCGTCGTCATTGTTAAGTGAAACGAGTAATGATGAAAATAATTCCACAATTAAGAGTCTTATTTTTAAACCATTAGAAAAACAACAACACTCAAAAGTAACAATGAAAGAACGTGGTATTCTTGGAGAAGTTGGAAATAGAACAACATCAACAACAACAATCACAAACAAATTAACAACACTTTCAATTAATAAAAAACCACCACCAACGTCGTTATCAAAAGAAAATTTATCAACAAAAAATGTTACGAGAGTCGTCGTTGTAGAAGAAGAAATAGAGCAAAAAGAAGAAGTACAACAGATTGAACAAAATAATTTACCACAACAAAATGAAACACAAGAAATATTAATAGAAACAACTAAAGTAACTGATGTTCCACAAGAATTTGATTGCGACAGTAGCGATTCAAAAATATTAGATACGGTATATGAATACATTTATGATATATGTAAATATTGGAGAGAATTAGAACAAAAAATGCCAATTACACCAAACTATTTGCAACATAGAAAAGGTAAAAGATCGTTTTTAGTAATAATAAAAGAATAACAAGTTTCTTTGCATTGTTTCTTTTCTCAGCAGATCCATCTTATATGAGATAAAAATGAATCATGTAGTTAATGATATGATTTTTGTGCTCAGTTTTGTACCGCAAAGTAAACTACATGTTTATAACTTTTTAACTGTTAGAAGGAAAACATCATTTTCAGAAGCTTACTGAGGTAATCCAATTCTGGAACAAATACACGTCTCATTCAACAGCAAGTAACATGTTACTCTACATGCCAGAATGGTAATCCTTTTATATAAATAAATGCCGTATTATTTCTCATTGAGATTATCTTCTAACTAGAGTGAAATACTCACATAGCAAAGAGAAGTATTTCGCTACGATATTAGTCCAACGTTTTGGTATGAGACCTTTTTCTACTATTCTTTTCATGAACCGTACAATGTATCATATTTATTTTTATTTGTTTATCGTTTAGGTACCGTAACGGCAAATAATCGCGCAATATTGATCGATTGGTTATATCAAGTACATGACCGTTTTAAATTATTATCTGATACATTCTATACAACTGTACAAATAATTGATCGGTATTTACAAGCTGTCGATGTTCAAAAACGTGACTTGCAACTAATCGGTTCAACAGGTAAAATTGTGAATATTGTCGAAAAGTGTAATATAGCGTGGAATTATTTCAAAATGGAATTTATTCTTTGACTCAGGAGATGATGTGAGAAATAGTCTTATGTATTACATTTGGAGAAGTAGTATCTTCAACTATTGATTTCAGAGTGTATATACAAAGAACTTGTGTCATCGTCTCCGACTTGATACTGTTTTATTAAGCTACATTAAAATTACACGAGTACAACTTTGATATTATATAGTTCGCTTTTCTTCTGTTCCTCTTCAATTAGCAATGTTCGTTTGGTTCTAGCATTATTTATGGCCTGTAAATATGAAGAAATGCGTATACCAGAAATGAACGATTTAGTTTATGTATCAGATAATGCATTCAGCAAAGATGATATGAAAGAAATGGAACGTGATATATTTGATCAATTAAATTATGATTTGGGACGACGTACGTTTTCATTTTCTTTTTTTTTTAATCAATTAATCATAAATGACTTTTTCTTTTCCTTTTTTTAGCATTAGCTATTAATTTTCTACGGCGTTATTCAAAAATTGGTCAAGCAAGTGATATTGAACATACATTGGGTAAATATTTGTTAGAATTAACATTTACCGATATATCGTTAGTTCATTATTCACCATCATATTTGGCCGCATGTGCCGCATTCCTTGCACGCTATTTAATTTTGTTACAACAACAACAACAAAAAAAAGGCATAACAATAACACCACAAATAATTAAAAAATTAACTGAACATATTTGGCCCACAGATTTTTTTACATATCATACATCATATTCATTTGAACAATTAAAATCTGGCATTGAACAATTAGGTCAATTATTAATACAAAATGAGAGTGGTTCAAATAAATTGAAAAGTGTTAAAAGAAAATATTCACAACCGTGTCTATTTAGTATAGCTACAAATGATTGTTGTAAACTTGTCTATGTCCAATTAGCATTAAATCGATTATTCAAACAATAACAAAATAATAATGAAATGAAAAACTATTATTATTATTTTCTCTTGTTTTTAGTTTTATTTCATTCACCTATCCAAAGCAAAAACATTTGAATTGAGCTTACAAATTTGTTTTTGAAAACTCTAATTGAACAAACCCTTTCTATTCTGCTGGTTTTATTTCTAGCACATAGCCGGTACGTGCATTTTTCCTTTTTTTTTTCACTGTTGAATGTAAGCCACGATAAATTTCTTCTTACTTTCTCGTTTTTTTTCTTTTGTTTATGTGTGTGTGTATGTGTATCTGAGTCTAATTTCGCTGTGCAATATTTTTTTTTTCTATAAGCCAAAAAAAAATGTCAGATAATGATCAATAATACATTTAATTTTCAGATAGAGAATTCTTTTTTTCTCTTTTTTTTTTGTTTGTGGATGCGTATATGCAAAACATTTATCTTTTTTGTGAACTCCTATCATTAAAAATAAATAAAGGAGTATAAGTTTATATTAAAAAATATTCTGCTCTACGTCACCTTGTTACTTTCACTTTTTGTCGCTTTTCGACTTTCTTCGAAAAAAAGAATGCTGCTGCACAGTACCGTTGATTCTATATGACTTGTACAGATGGATGTCTTATGACGTCCAGTTCAGTACCTACCGCAAATGTCATATAGCATCGTCCGATCGTTATCATCAATAACGAACGGTCACATTACAGATAATATCATAAAGCAATTTTGTGTAATTCTGTAACAGATATATGTGACAAGCAACATATAGGAGAAGTCTCGATTTTAGACGTCTAAATCTTCACTGACAAGGTTTTTTGTTCTGATTTATTGTGTATGTATTACTGTTCCTTGTTTTTTTTTACTTTGATTGTAAATTTTTTTTTTAATGTCTACTCCATTGCTGGTAGTGGTACAAACTTGATAATACGTTCATTAATGCCTTCTCTGTCTTTTTTTAAATTAATAATGATATATGTTTATTAATTTGGCTAAGATTGTATTTTTTTTTTGTGTGTTTGTCTTTTTTTGTCTGTATGTTTAAATGGAAAACATAATGCGTAAAAATGAGAATTTTCTACTCTGTTAAAGTTATATCATGAATAAAAACAAAACGAAGAAGATTTAGATATTTTAAAGAACCTGTAGAATGGATGTGAAAGTAACTGCATTTATATGAAGATGAATAAAGCAGTTATTACTCACACATGCATACTAAATGTTTATGTCAAATCTTAGATCGATTCTGGCACAGTCTGTCTTATTTTGAATATATTAAGAAAAGCCTTCCCATTTATTAATCACATTCTCGATAGAACTTTTTATTTTTGAAATATTTATACAACAAAACAAGACAAATCGTGATACTAAATTATTTATTATTATTATCTACTCTATGTATGTCTTTTGTGACGACAAATTCATTGTTACAGCTTAGATATAATTCCGAAATTTATAAATCTATTTTTCCATATATTTAAAATTCTTAATCTCTTGTTATTAGTCGTACTGTCTGCAAAAATTCCTATACGGATTAGAACCACTTCGTTGACTCAGTTCCACATTCTTCAATGAAACATATTCTTTATACAATTTTAGATAAAAAAATGGCCACAAATAATAGCGTGACAACAGCATCCGCTACAATTGACGATGAAATATTTGCTTCTCATGCGAGTCAAGATCCTGAAACAGAATTATTTGATCGTACAATTGGTGTAATTGAAGATATGATTATGGATGATGAATTTCGTCGTATACAAGATCAATTTTTAGAACAAAATTGTCGTGAATTTGATGATTCAGATGAAAATAAACTTTCTTATACTACAATACATAAAGATTATCTAAACATAGTAGAAAATTATGTTATAAATCAATTAAAAAAAAAAATTCCGCAGTTTGATCTTGAGCCATTTATGAAACAATTAACATTAAGAAAACAAGAATTAGAAGGTGAAATATTTGAATTTTTATGTACATTTACCGATTTTCTTGCATTCAAAGAAATGATGTTAGATTATAAAAAATCAAGTGAAAATGCAGGACAAATTGATACGAGTTCATGTTTACAATCGATTAGTTTAAGTGGTATCGATTATGATAATGACAATAGAGCTGCCATGATGAATCGATTGACTCCTATGTTAGATCAAGTGAAAGTAGATGATGATGAACAACAATCATCGCTACCAACAGCATCATCAGCACAATCAACAAGAATAGCTCAATTAGACTTAGGAATACAAGGAACAAAATTGAAAGCTCCATCGTCAAATTCAACATCAAAGAAAAAAAGTTAGATATATTTAACATTCCATATTATATATAGTACACTATCGATAGCTTTTTCAAATTTCTTAAGCGTTAAAATGCCGATTTGTTTGTTTTATAAAAAAAAGGGTAAATAGAAAAAGATAACTTCATTTAACTTATAATTTGAGTATGACTGTTCGTATGCTTTTATCTGTATTCTTTATTAGCAGTGTGTGTGCTTTTTGTTGACCCCTAATACTTTTTAAAAAAAAACGTATGCACATAGTTATGTATTGTCCCTGCACTATTCTATTTTATGAATAATGTTCCGTCCAGGCAGAATGATTTTTTTAATGACATTTTTGTGAATTTATTTATTTACTTACACAGCAAAATCTATTGTCCAGTAATAAAAATCAAAAGATTATTGAATTAGAGAAGAATATGATAGCCGGAAGAGTAAAGGAAAGGGCAATGGTATGTTTGATATTCAAAAGTTGATTAAGATCAAGAGTGTCGAAGTGCAAGACAGATATACGTCCTTTATATTTCAGGAAAAGCTTTCTGGATCTTAATGTAATGTCAAAATAAATAGAATACTTGTTTTCTCGTCCCTAAGTTACGTTCAGCATAAGATCAAGAAAAAGATTATTTTTCGTGTAAACTGATGACACAAAGAAAGTGAGTATATTTAGTTTAAGTACCCGTCGAAAAAAGTTCTTTGTTTTTGGTAAATCAGATGAAAAAAATTATTTGTTTTTATCTAAAAATTAAATAAATGTTAAAGTCCGTCTTGTTTAGAAGGTCATATTTTTTCTCGACAAACATCACAAGTGTCTTTGACAGCTGAAGGACATCATAATTTTATCACGTTGATTTGTGTACTAAAGAAACTACTTTTATAGTCTTGACTTCACATGTTTAGCTAGGCTAGTCTGAAAGAGCGAACATGTTTCGTAAGATTTGATTTCATTTTCATACTCTCATTTCACAGTGGGCATTTTTTGCTAGAGCAAGCGGACTTTAGCTTTATGAGCGAACTAAAATTTCTTGAACCATTTTTTTATAGGTTTTTCATGATCCTCTTTCTAATGGCATAAGAGTTGGGTTTTGAAA